ACTTCAATCATCAAAAGATAAAGGGTATTGGTGGCATGTTCCTATAGATCATCCTTTTTTCATTCCTTTTTTAGGTCTTGGCTTCGATGAATGTCAAACAAGTACAACTCGAGTACAACACAAATCAGTGATTAAGAAAAGAACATTGCAATTTTTATTCGAAACACTAGTAAAAATTAGAGGAACAGATACCATCTTTTATGTTCATACCTCAAATTTTGCAGTTCCCACCGGAAACAGTAAAAGAATTTCTGCGGGAAATCCGTTGATTGGACAACACCAGACTGAAGAGCGTCAATGAATATCCCAAATTCAAAAAGTGTTGCATTTGGTGTCTGTATAGGGCATGTATTATTCAGAAATGTGATAAATCCGACATTATTGTCATCACAATACACTGAAGCATGGACACAATCAGCCCTACTTGCACAAGCTTTTCGCCAGCTAGTAGTTTCACGTTCAATAGAAAACAAGTACCAAAAGGCTCCCAGTAGCTGAGAGCAGCCAAAAGAGAGTTTTGTAAGATAACCGATAAAATAACACTAGAATAAGACAAATATTTTTAGTGAACAGGCTAAATTCGAGATCAAGAAAGATTTTATAATGCATATGCAATTAGATGCCAAAAAGGTTGCAACTACAGACAAAACATGCATGCAATAACAACAAAAAAAAATTAAAAAAGAAAACATACATGCACTAGGGCAAAAATCATCCTTCTTGTTTATGCCTCAGAAATTACACACACTAGTATAATAATGCAGAACCAATCATTAGACTCCGCTCAAAATGTTTCTTAAAAAACCTGCCCCAAATTGCTGAACAAGAAGAAAACGGATTTGGAATTGTCCAGAGAGGAATGGAAAATTGCAACGTGAGGACATTTTGGCAATGCAGAAATCTTTTCTCACCTGTGGCAGTGGAAGAACAGCTAGAATGTCAATTAAAAAGTACGATGATAAATATCTCTTTGCTATTGCCCAAGCATCTTCCACTAAAACACCTCTTCAAAATACTCGCGAAGAAGGAGCAATAAAGCCGGTACGAAATTGAAAGAAGATATGGATTATGTAAAAGATATCAGCGAAGGAACGCAATACACTAGCTGTGACCTCCAACTTTTTGTCCAACCCAAGGCACTTCTTCTCATTATCTATCAGTGGAATGTAAAAGAAAAAAGGATCCAAAGAGACAGCTAACTCACATGACAATGCAAATATTTTATTCCACTTTTGAAGGAACGGTCTTTGTGCTCTGTAGGTGACGGATGCGATAGAGATGTTGGTACGTATGCCACATAGAGGCGCTTGTGCTTGTGAGACAAATACTGGTGATGGAGCTGGTATTCTCGTAGCTCTTCCTCATGACTTCTATAAGGAGGTGTGTTTATCAACTTCACTTTCATTTCTCTTTTGAGGTAATAACTATGAAGACGTTTTTTCTATTAACAACCTTTCTTGACAGGGAATCTATTTTTTATTTTTGAAAGCTAACCGTTTTATTTTCTTTGTGATGAATTTATTTGGTTATGTAATTTTTAGTTTCAAATTTGCGTGAATATATAAGGGGAAAGAAACAAAAAGAGAAAAATGTTTAGTAAGTATGCGTGTTTCTAATACCTTAACTGAATTCTAATTTCTAGCGGTTTTACTCTTGTTGTCTTTGGCTCAAGGCCATATTCTCCTTTACTTTATTATAAACTACTAGGTGGTGATTTTTGTTTGGTCATCTTGTAACAGGTTGCTAAGGATATTGGTTTCGAGCTGGCACCACGTTGACAATATGCCGTGGGCATGTTCTTCTTGCCTGCATCTGAAAGTCGAAGGGAACAAAGCAAAATTGTATTTACAAAGGTAACTTAGCTAAAATTTGGCCTGTTTGTTCTCATTTCTTTTGCTGTCTATGTTTAGTTTAGTGGAGACTTCATCTATATTCTTATTCTTTTACGTGAACTCCAGCGAGGAGCATCTTCATTATTGCTCAAATATTTGAAATGGAATTCTTGGCACAGTTCCGGATTTCTATGTTTTGAGTTGCCATTCCGATTAATTGCTAGAATTTTCTTATATCTTGTCTTGATGTTGTTTTCTGAGAATTTATGAAATATATTTGTAGGTGGCCGAGTCTCTTGGGCATACTGTACTTGGGTGGCGCATGGTCCCCACAGATAACTCAGGATTGGGCAAATCTGCTTTGCAGATAGAACCTGTTATTGAGCAAGTGTTTTTTACACCTACGCCTCGGTCAAAAGCTGATTTTGAGCAACAGGTAAATCTCTCTCTGTTATGCTAGAATCAGTTTTTAGGCTTGAAAGTGGGATGATTTGTCCGTTCTGCATTCACTGGCTTCCCCTGACTAAATCCATGATAACTAGTACCTATAGTGGATTTTTGGCAGAAAGTACTCACAATATTGGGGTTACATGATTTGTCAGTTGTGCATGGACTGGCTTCCCCTGATTGAATACAATCCACTAGTACCTCCAGTGGATTGTTGGAAGAAAGTACTCACAATATTGGGGTTGTTGCATGATTTCCCATGGGGAAGTTCCCTTGATTTTACAATCTATTTGTTTTGTAAAAATGAGGTGAAATTGATGAACCATGTGACTCTTGCAGCATACTTTCTCAGTCCTCTCTTATTTCCCGTAATGTGTTTTATTTGAGAGTTTCATCCAATTATTTTCTTCCTTTGAAAGACTCCTGGTCTTCGCACTTTTTGTTGTCTTTCTTTGTCATTCTGCAGATGTATATATTAAGGGGGGTTTCAATGGTGGTAGCTATTCGAGCTGCACTAAACCTCCAACATGGTGGTGTGAGGGACTTCTACACATGTTCTCTTTCCTCAAGGTTTGTTTGCTGTAGTGTCTTGCCGATATGTTCATTTGCTGAATTCTGCTTTCAGACTGTGAAGACCTTACCTTGTTTCTGCAGGACTGTTGTCTACAAGGGTCAGCTGAAGCCCAATCAGTTGAAGGAGTACTACTATGCAGATCTTGGCACTGAAAGGTTTACAAGCTACATGGCCCTGGTAAATATATTTTTCATTTACACTTCTTCTTTGTACACTGACTCCATACTTTGGCAACGAACAGCATGGGATGAACCAGTTAACTGGAGAGATTTCAAGGTTGAGGAATGACTTCTGAGGCACTGAAGTTTGAATGATCTCTTAAGTTCTTCCACTCCCTAGATTACTGTTTGAATTTGGATGCCAGATTGGATTTTTTGGGTGAGTTGGTAAATTACCTCATTATGAAGTAAATCATGTTTGCAGAAACTTGTTGCCTTGCTTTCTATGATCAGTCCTTAAGGACAAAACCTTCATGTTGGTGGTTGAAAAGAAATTGTGTTTGGTCAAGGTAGTTTAGGGTTTCCATGATGTTTTGTACTGTCATTACAGTATATCATAATTGTAGTGCCCTGAACACGATTTCATTTCCAATTATGAAGTTAAGAACCCATATTTTCATAATGTGGACACATTTTGGAGTGAAAATATGGTTTTTTCGATTCTTGGTGCAGATACACTCTAGGTTCTCAACTAACACATTTCCGAGCTGGGATCGTGCTCAGCCTATGCGTGTCTTGGGCCATAATGGGGAAATTAACACACTCCGGGGAAATGTAAATTGGTAAGTTGTTTAGTAACTAGTGAATTAATTGTTTTCCATGCCATTGGGTGTATCTGTGATCCGTTTGCATGCTCACATATACTTGTTTAGGAGAAACTTCCCATTTTTCGGATAAGCAGGATGATGATGTTGTTAATTTAAAAATGGTTAGTTAAATAGGTGCGGCTTTTTTTGAATGAGAGGTCATGAAGTTTAAGTCAGATATTACTAAGGCCAGACATGTTCCTCAATTATTTAAGTCAATGATGTCTTTTTAAACTAGAGAAGTTAATGACACCGTTCGACTTTTTTTTGTGTACAGTCCTTGGATTGTAATGTTAATAAAATGTGTGATACTGATGAGGCAGTGCTGTTGAACGCAGAAATTTCCTGCATTTTGAACGCAGAAATTTATAAAAATATATAACGATGACTGGATGCATTAGAAAGCAGAGGCACTGCACCCCGCAGATGTATGATAACCTGACCAAACCTGGAAGCAAAGATCATTGGCAGAAGTATGATAACCTGACCTAACCTGGAAGCAAATATCATTAAGTTACATAATTTGGATTTTTGCTTGAGGGATGCAGTCAAGACTCATGTTGACATTGGCCTGTACTGGGGTCCGGAATGCAGATTCTAGTGATTTACCACTGAATACCTGCAATGAACCTTCTAGTACCTCCAGGATCGCGTTCCCTAAAAACTATGCTTCCCCTGATGAAATCCATTGATAACAAGGCTTTTGAGGAGGGATGGATGGTGCCACGGCCTCCCTCAAGGAGAACTGGGTATGCTTTTGATTTTTAGCTTGACTGTAGTTTCCCACATCTTAAGAGGTGTTCCACTTTTAAAAAAATATATATTTTCTGTTCTGGTGTGATTGCAAGTCTTAAGATTCTTTTTTAAGCTTAGAAACTTCCGTTTCTTTTATTGGACTTTTCCACAAGTACTATATTGTCTCGAATGAAATGTCATGGCGAAACTGATCCTAATATTCCTCACTCTTACAGAAAAAGAGTTGCTATCATTGGAAGTGGCCCTGCTGGATTGGCTGCCACTGATCAATTGAACAAAATGGGCCATAGTGTGACTGTGATTGAGCGTGCTGATTGAATTGGTGGACTTATAGAGGAAAAAAGATAAAAACAGAGGAAGAAGAAAGCTTGAATTGATATGTCTCTTATTCAATAATCGGCAACGTGAACCATTAGGCATTACAAGAGGAGTATTTAAACAAGTAATACAACGAAATGATTTCCAAAAAATCTGCTACAAAATGGTTTCTCATAAAATCAGCTGCTACAAATGGTCTGATTTTTCCAGATTTTTAGGACTTGCTGGATCATTATTCTGGTTTAAATTTATTGCCGTTAGAGCTCCAATGCCTCTCAACGTCTCTCCACTGATTTCTGCTACAAATGGTCTGATTTCTCATAAAATCTGCTGCTACAAATGGTCTGATTTTTCCTGATTTTTAGGACTTGCTGGATAATTATTTTGGTTTAAACTTATTGCAGTTAGAGCTCCAATGCCCCTCAACGTCTCTCCACTAATTTCGGCAATATTGTGAGAGTCTTCCCCCTTTTTTCTCCAAGAATCTTGTGCTTCCTTATTGCTCCATTGACTCTCACTACTGTTGAGTGTGCCGAGCTGTGGTTTGTTGCTAATACTTATGATGTATGGGGTCCCTAACATGAAGACTGACAAAGTTGATGTTGTCCAAAGGAGGGTTAACCTTATGGAAAAGGAAGGTGTGAATTTTGTGGTCTATGTTAATGTAGGAAAAGATCCTTTTTACTCATTGGATCGGCTTCGCCAGGAGAATGATGCTATTGTTTTGGCGGTAGGCGCTACAAAACCCAGGTGAGTCATGGAGAATGAGTTATGGATGATGCTTGTTTGGATTGTTTATAAATAGAAAATTTGTGAAACTTAACAGATCTTTCCCCCCATCTTCAGGACAGAATATAACTCGTGAACTAATATTTACAGGACCTCCCTGTTCCTGGGCGCGAACTCACTGGAGTCCATTTTGATATGGAGTTTCTTCACGCCAATACTAAAAGCTTGCTTGATAGCAATCATCAGGACGGTAAATACATCTCTGCAAAGGGCAAGAAGGTAGTGGTAATTGGTGGAGGTGACACCGGCACAGATTGTATTGGGACATCTATCCGTCACAGTTGCAGTAGTATTGTTAATTTAGAGCTTCTCCCTGAGCCGCCACGAACCAGGGCTCCTGGCAACCCTTGGCCACAGGTTTGACCCCTTTCTTAGTTTTTCCCCAGTTGATACAGTTATCACTTTTACTCATAGGAACAAGGTAATGAAAATTGACCACCTTAAAACTTTTGCTCAATTTTAATTTATAGCCTTCTGCTGTGGGTCATAGCACGGGATAGCAAATTATTTCACTAACTTTCTCTAAATATTGTTAGTATTTGATAAAATTCAATCGAGATTGTGATTAGCAGAGAATTTCTAGCACAGCAAAATGATAAGTCTGATGCTGCATACCAAAACCTGTATAGTACAATGGTAAGCAGTTGACAGTGCCACTCAAAAGGGAGAAAAAAGGAGCAGGGAGTCTGAGATTTGATTTTAATTCTATCAATTTAAAATGGAAAAGAAAAAAGAACAAGAATAAGGGATCCTGTGCTTACGGAATATCAAGAGCAATGCGGTCCAACATATTGGTGCATATTTGCATTACATGTCAGATTTTTGATAGGAAGTCTCAACTAAAAGGCTGTGTAATTTTGAAAATGTATAACCCAATTTTTTTTATTACCATTTCATATGCCTTATTTTTAGATGTCAATACAAATTTTGCCCGTCTTTTCTGGTTGGCAGTGGCCTCGCATATTCCGCATAGATTATGGACACCAGGAAGCTGCTGCCAAATTTGGCAAAGACCCAAAGTCCTATGAGGTATTGACTAAGCGGTTTGTTGGAGATGAGAATGGGGTTGTGAAAGGATTGGAAGTGGTCCATGTCCACTGGGAGAAGGATGCTAGGGGGAAGTTTCAATTTAAGGAAGTTGAGGGCTCTGAGGAGATGATTGAGGCTGATCTAGTTCTTTTAGCAATGGGTTTCCTTGGTCCTGAATCGGTTAGTATTCTGAACTACTATCATATAATGGATGATATCTCTGGGGTGAACTACTTTGAAACTCGAAAAGCTACGGGATGGCTTGAAGATTTGCTGTCAAATTTCTGCACTCTAAAATATTGATGATAACAGCAAAAATGAAGTCTAGTTCCAGGCATTTGACCCTTCCATTCTGCGATCCTCTTCTTGTTTCTTAGTAAGATTATGGTATGCTTCAAGATGGTGATACATCCACTTCCCCCGGAAAACCAATGCTTACTACTTGGATGGAACTGAATTGAATTTTAAGGCCCATTTAGAATTTTTGACCAATGGCAAGCTTCTCTAAGACGCTGGATTAATGATGAAACAAAGAAATTGGGCCTTGTAATTGCCCATTTGATTGGTGTATGGTGTGAGTTTGGGCCACAAGGCCCACAACCAAAACGACACCGTTGCAGAAAAGGACGAGTCCCACCGCCTCATGTGTCTAAAGCTCAGGCGCCGCCGGTCTCTCTCTGGGGACCGAGAGAGAGTTCTCTTCTAGCGGCGGAGACAAAAACGAAGAAGAAGATGGCGAGCAATCTGGGCCGTCTATTCACATCAGCAATCGAGCTTTCCAAGCCTCCAAAGTTATCTCTATCCTTCGGCAGATCCGAACCCTCGACCTCAGCGATTCGACTTATTTGGTCTTTCGACGCAGCGAAAACAATCTCATCAAGAAAACCCCAAGGAACCAGAAGGTGAGGTCTCGGAAAACTCAGAGAAGCTCGAAAGTGAAGATGACGATACTCACAATGGCGATGCTGAAGATGAGGATATGAGGACAGTGATGGCGTTCAAGTGAATAAAGAGACCGGTGAGATCGGAGGTCCCGAACCTACTCGCTTCGGCGATTGGGAACGAAACGGTGGGTGCTCTGATTTCTGAGATTCGGTCGATTCACAGCCGTTGATTTAGGAATGGAGTGAAGCTATGAGGTCAGTCAGATTTTATTTTGGGTAATTGCGAGATCATCTTATTCTGGGCTGATTCAACACTTTCTGAAATCTATTTCTATAGTATAGTTTTTGTTTGAGGGTCTGAAGAGACCTTATTATATATGAACTTTATCAACACAAACGAATGTCCTTGATATTGGAAAGTATTCAGAGATGCAAAGGAAACAAACCTCACATCGACTGTACAATGATGGACATTTCAGTAAATAAAATTGCACAATAAATTTTGATTAAAAAAATAAAATTGCACAATAAATCAAATTTGATTATATTTCTAAGCTCAAACTAAATCGAAGTAACAAATGATTCGGTCACATATTTATAAAGATTAACAAACTTAAATTTATAGCATGTTTGGATGTTTAATTTGCGGGGTTTTGGACTGAATTTATGGAACGTTTCCAAACCCAGCCCAAAGGATTTACACATGGGATTCAAAAAAATTCAATCAAATTTTATGTTTGATAAGTGATATAAATATTCTAGTAATTACCCGACACTTTGAAACTTAAAAAAACGCTCATAATCATAACTTTTCCTCCATTTGTTTTAATTAAAGACATTGAAATCAAACTTACCCTTGCTATTTTCGACCAAAAAAAAAAAAGAATTCCGAATAATCTCAACTTGTGTACAAAGTTTATATATCTAATTATATGTATCATTGCCCAACACAATCTCAAAGAATAAATTCCTTAACCTTACGCAAAGACATTATTATATTTTAGTCACTATTCAAGTCAAACAAAAATAATATTTATATCATAATAACAAATGTCACAGTTACATGTAATATATGTAAGTCTAACCAAATAACCAAAATTTATTGTTCACAATCATACAAAATAATTATATTAGCTTAAGATTGTGTTGAAAAATCACCAAAGTAAAGCTCACTATATAAATTTAACTGAACCAACAAAACTCATTAAGGTCATAATCAAATCTTAGATTTTTTAGAAGCCATTGGTGTGAGAAAAGGTTTAGTATTGGAGCCTTGTAGACCCAATGGACTCTAGCTCCGATATATATCTAGCAATAATTTAAAAGATCTAATAAAAATTGAACAAAGTAGAATGAATTGAGAGTTTTTACAAAGGCCATAACCTACCCCAAACTAACATGGATCAAAATTCTAAGAAAACCGTCATTTTCAAAAACCTGTAATACATAAAACAATTGATATGTTAATCAAACTTTCAACATGTTTGAAACATCCAATTTCCTTATTTTTCTTTCTACTTTTGCAAGGATCACATGAATCGCATATGCATTTTTTCAACAAATATCACTGCAACAAAATAATATTCAAAGAAGACCAAGGATATTGCAGTGCATATGAGAACTTACCCCTACCTTACCATCTAGATATGTTTCCTACTTTGATCCGTTAGTGTCCAACATCTCCTATTACAATCCTACAACGAAAAAATTGCAAGATAGTTCAACAAAAGAAATCAAATTGATGGAATATGAGAGAAAATGATTACAGTTTCAAAGCATAGTAACTACATTGGTAAAGCATATACCAATCCATATGAAATGAAGAATGAAACCAAATTTGTTAAACCAAATCTAATCAAACCACCATCATTCAATCACCCACTTCTATCAAAATAACTGTAACATGTAACATTCAACTAATGCACGTGCCAGTACAAACACAACTTGGAAGCAACACAATATAAAAATTCTAAAGCATTGACAAAACATTAAGAGAGCTCCGTTTATCTACAGACAACATCCATTGCTTTCACAGACAAAGTGCAAAAACAACCTATTAATAAAAATATATTGGATGACCGCTCTTATCAATTATCCAGTCACTGCATAAACTGACAGCTTACGTAGTATAAACAAAGATCAAATGTAAAGCGTCTAGAAATTTAAAAAAAAAAAAAAAAATTGTGCATAATCCTAATGAAAAGAAAGTGAGAATGAAAATAATTGAAATTTGAGTTTTATTCTTACTTGTAATACGTACAGTCAAGTGGAAGCTCATACTACGAACACAATATTAGCTAGAACAACAAATGGAAATTATCAAAGTCCCATATTTAATCTAGAACAAATATATTGGATGGTCGCTCTTATCAATTATCTAGTCGATACATAAATTGACGGGCTTTCATAGTATAAACAAAGATCAAATGTAAAGAGTCTATAGAAATTTCAAAAAATATTATTCATAATCATAATAAAAAGAAACTGAGAATGAAAAAAATTGAAATTTTTGTTTTATGCTTACTTGTAGTACATACAGTCAAATGGAACATCATACTACAAACATAATATTAGCTAGAACAACAAACAAAAATTATCAAAAGTCACCATATTTAATCAAGAACAAAACAAAAATAAAAATAAAAATCTTAGTTGTCCAAATGACCACCACAAACACGAAATTCCTAAGAGTAATAAAAATACTAATTTCATAATAAAAATAAAACACATGAATCTGAAAACATTTCAAGTCTACTTGCTTTCTTGTTACAAATAAAAGTCAATTTTTAACTTAACAATAAAAACAAAAGATATAATCCATGACCCAAATAAGATTAAACCGAGACCAACTGAATATAGCAAAACTCATAAAAACAATATAAATTAGGTAGTGCTAGATTTTCTATAACAACGCTAGCAATATTAGTAAAATTGGGTTGGTGCATTGGGCTTTTTCATATTTATTTCCCATCTTATCACACCCATATGATTATTCTATGTCTATTCAAAAGCAAACCTTTCTTTATTGTTTCCCATTAAATACCACAAATTGACACCTTTTAAAGTGTTAACATAAAGCCCAGAACTGCAATTTCATGTTCAAGCATAGAGACCTTTAATCATAACATTGAAGAAATTGACCCATAATTGAAATTAATTGAAGGCAAAGAAAGTACACACTTCTTAGCTATCTAAGCCCCAAATTTGATAGCGAGCTACATATTTATGCTTTCTACCTAAGATACTCAATGGCATGATTGATACATACACAACTAATCACATTGAGACAAAGCCCATGGATAGAACACTTACCTTCAACATTCCAAAGCTAGGAATTTGTTAGCCATTTGTTTTACTGCCATTAACCGACAACAAAATTCACTAAGAAAAAAAGTCCTATGGAGCATAATAATAGATAGTTAGTGGACAACACCAACATGTGATTAAATTACACAATTCAACAAAGAATAATAATAAAAAAAAATACAAAAGAGAGAGAGGGAGAAATATGTGTGTGTGTTGCAAACACCTCTGTTCCCTCATCAAGCTTGTGCGTGTGTGCTACAAAATCAAAGATGTGTGTGTGTGTGTGTGTTGAGGCGGTGGGATTTTGGGATGGAAGGAGGGTGAGAGCGAGAGTCAGGGAGGAGCCAAAGATAGTCTCTGTTTCTTAATCAAGCTTGTTGAAACTTACATCAAAATTGTTAAATCCACCGAGCCAACTCACTGAAGCAATAACAGAAACACTTGAATGAACATCCAATCTTATAAACCTATTTCATAATTTAAAAAAAAACATGAATAAAGTTTGTGAAATTTCCAAACCTTGTTTAACACCCAAATTAAAAACTCAATTTGAAAACAAATTAGCCTAAAAATCTTATAGAGAATGAAATTAACGCACAACATTCTATTAACACACAAATCTTAATTTTAATCAAGACTCTATAAAAACCTATTTCATACTAATTGACACAATCCCTAAAATGATGGAAGTACATTAAATTAACACACAATCTTAATATAAATAACTCTAACATTCATCAAATCAAGATACTATAAACCTATTTCATAATTAAAAAAAAATCAATTTGAAAATAAATTAGCCTACAAATTTTACAAAAAGAATACTCAATATAATCAACTCAACATCCAAATGAACACTCAAGCTTAGCATTCTTGAATGTCATGACAAAAAACTTGGATCTTCTTTATTGTTTAGCATTCTTGAAGCATATGAATGGCAAATTGCAAGGCGTGAACCCTAAAGAGTTAAACCTCATGCATCTATTGTTCAAACTGCCTGTGACTCACCCAAGGAATTAAATTTCATATCGAAACGTCAGAAATGTTTTCGTTTCCATAGAAATCGAAATAAATCATTGATTGAATATCAAAATTCATATGTTTCGGTGTGTT